GAGATGCTCAGCGGCCCTTCATTGGAGGTGACCACTTCGGGATCCTTCTCGTTGGAGGTCACCCCCCCAGCGTCTTCCTCGTCGGAGGTCATCTAAAAACAAGCCGAAAACGGGAGATGTGGATCTCGTTGCTGGAGGAGGCTGAAACATCAGATTCACTGCCGGGATGTGAGACGGAGGATGCTCACACTGGAATGGCAACGCGCATCGTCCGTGATAACCGAAATCCCTCTAATTTCTGGCGTTACGACCTGCCTCCCCGATTGTTTCGCTGTTAATTGAGCGACCACCCAGCCCAGGACGAGCCCGTTGGGAATCAGTTTGACTCACGTGATGGAGGGGCGGACTGCAGCCGACGTCCTCGGGATCTGCGGGGAGAAGGGAGATCCTGTCCCCCCCTGCCTGGACCAGCCCCGCTGCGCCTGCTCTCCCTCCGGCATCTCGCGCCACGGGGGAGAGACGTGGGGCTGGGAACACCCCCGGGCTGGGCTGCGTCTCTGGGTTCCCCACTTCCCGGCAGTGAAAAACCCCGGTAAAATCCCAAAAGGGCTTCCCAAATCTTTCCTAAAAGGACAGGCTGAGAGGAGAGAGCAGCACAGGGCGCTGAGCCTGCCTGGATGATCCCAACGGATGCTGCGCATCCCTGGGGGGTGTCAGGTCCACACCCCTGCTTGCCACAAGCTGGAAATAAGTATTTGGGATTGCCAAAAACACTTGGAGATGGTTAAGGAGGAAAATTGATGCTGATCTCAGCATTACACCGATCATCTGCTGTGCCCCGGCTCGTGCCACTCACACTCCACGAGGAAGAAGAAGCAGATGATGCCCACGGCGGCGATGATGACGCCGGGCACGACGAAGGACAGGCCCCAGGCGGAGGAAACCCAGACGCCGGCGATGAGCGACCCCAAGATGTTGCCGACGGAGGTGTGCGAGTTCCAGATGCCCATGATCAAACCTCTCCTGGCGGAGACAGAGCCGGGGTCGGTATCGCCGACAGGGATGGGGACGAGGAGGGAAACGCCGGAAAAACACTCACTTTCCTTTCCCGAACCAGTTCCCGATGCACGCCACGACGGAGGGCCAGCCGGTCGTCTGCACCAGCCCGTTGCAGACCTGGCAAGGGAGAGGCAGCGTCGGCACCCGGTGAGCGCCGATTTGATCCACGGAACGCAGCCCCTGCGCCGTTTTGGGTCGCCCAGCTCAAAACCA